TAGTGACCCGCGCGCGAAAGGCTGTGCTGCCGTAGCCCCAAGAATTGGGCCCGGTCAGCCCGAGCCCGGTCAGCTCGAGCCGCGTCAGCCTGAGCCATGGCGAGTGCGAGGGTAAGGTGCGCTTCGAGCAGGCCCGGCGCGCCCGCCTGTCACGGGCCTGGAGAGAGCGGGCCATGTGATCGCAGTGCTGACACGCCGCTCATCTCTCATCGTGCTCATGCCTAAGTATGCTCGTTTCTACTTGTTCCTGGCCCCCCTGGTGGCCAGGAGGAGCCCCAGGATAGAACAAAATTAGAAATGAAAGGACCTTGGCCCCACAAGAAAAATCCAAGAGCTTTCGAAGAATTAGAATGGAACACTGTGTATGCCTCCGGGCGCCGCGTGCCCACTCAACACCGTGACGGCCAGGCGCAGGAACGACAGGGACTCGACCGACTCTGGCGCGGGGGCCTGGGGCTCCAGCACCCCTGGGGCGCCCCGCGGTGTCCGCAGAGGTCCCCACCTCAGAGGGCATAGAGCCTGCCAAGCCTAGGATTAGGTCGGGCCTGTCCCCCTACTGGGGGATTCTGGGCGAAAAAATAAAATACAAAATAGTCACAAAAAAAAACAAATGTCCAAAAAATCCTTTTTAAAATTGTCCCCAGACTATTGTTTGACTATTCTTGACTACTCCTGTAGAGGGACACGCCCGACTTACGCCCAGGAGAGATGTGACTTCCTGGGGCCTGGCTCGCCGAATATCCGGCACATGATGGGGAACGGGGCAGGGCGCTGCACCGGCCTCGGCCTGCTTGTCTGCCCCCTGGTGTCCAAGGAGATCGGCACGAGCCTCCCCCTCGAGCACGTCGAAGTTGGCCCTGGAATGCGACTTGACCCTCACCACCACCGGGTCCCCCTCCCCCGTGAAAGGATCTTCGAGGGCATTCCAGGTCAGGAGCCAGATGTCAGCGTGGGGGCCTCGCGCCTGAGAACACCAGGCTCGCCCGCGCCGAAAACCACAGATCACTGTTGAATCACCTTCGCCAACAAGGAGCGGTGCCGCTCCATGGCCAGGAACATCCAGGAGACCAGGAAGCTCGGCGCGCAGAACGGACTGCGCCTGCCTGAGCCCTGAGACCTGACCGTGCATGGCTTTCCGGACCTGCCCCCTGAGGATCCAGAAAACGGAGGAGGAGGAGTCGGGCGGATTGAGGATAGGAGAGTAGGAGGGGGAGGAGGAGGCGGAGGAGAGTGAGGAAGGAGGAGGAGAAGGAGGAGGAGGAAGGAGGAGGAGGAGGAGAGGAGGGGAGGAGGATGGGAGGAATGGGACCCCCCCTCCGAGCGTCTTGAGCCCCGGCGCCCCGACCCCCGAGAGGAGTCGTGCCCGAGACGTGGGTCCAGGGCCTCTGCCGCGGGCGTGCCGTCCTGGAGGGGATCCCCGAGAGGGCGTTCGGCGAGGGCCCTCGAGAGCAGGGGCAACGATAAGGGGGGGATAGGGGTAGGGGGGGATATGGGTAGGGGGGCAACGATAGGGGGGGAAAGGGGTAGGGGGGGAACGAGAGGGGCAGGGGGCAACGATAGGAGGAGGGGCAACGATAGGGGGGGATAGGGGTAGGGGGGGAAACATCGACCTGGAATCGGCGATACATCGCCGATGGATCGGCGATGGGCCTCCGATAGTGGATCCGCAAGTTCCTGGGCAGGTTAGGGCTATCGGGCCCCTATCGGCGATCAATGGGCGATTGGGGGTCGATGTATCCCCCTTATGCCTATCCCCCCCTATCGTTGCCCCTGAAAGGAGGAGGCGGAGGTCCCAGCCCGATGTGCAGCATCAGGGAACGCTTCGCCGGCCTCCCGTCCCTGGCCTGGGCAAGCTGGGCGTTCACAGAGGCTTCGTGCCCACACTGCAGACACGACGGGCGACCGTCTGAGCATCCAGCGCGCCACGCCTCGTCCTGAGGTCCAGAAATCTCCTCCTGGATACGCCATGACTGCCGCATGCCGCTGCTCTCGCCCCCTCCCCTTTAGGTGTGAGCGCGGCACGGCAAGGCTCGAGAAGAGGCCGGCGGGACAGCCTCTGACGGCGAGCGGACCCATCAGCCAGCTCCCGATCTTCGGGCCGAAGCGTGACGTCTCTCCGCACCGTGCCGGGAGCGACCCGACGCGCGTCGACAGACTCGCCGTGCGGGCCCTGTCCAGCTGCTTTGGCGCTGCGGCGTGCGCCAGCGAGCGGAGGCGGGCCCCCTGGACCCGCAGGCCTCGGAGGGCATCGGCGAATGCTCACGCCGCACTCCTCCGTCAGTGCCCCCCACCCCCCAATGATCAGTGCTGGCGGTGGGTGCGGCTGACCTGCGGGCGCCAGGCTCGGGCCACGTGGGCCTCCTGCTCCCCCTTTCCAGGCCCGTCTGGACCACCTGCCCAGGGGGCGTTGGGAGGCTTCCACGACTGGACTCACCTGGTAAGCCCACAGCCTGAGCACGTGATCGCGCCCCACAGCGTTACCCCCCCCCCACGCTGCCAGAGACCATAACCCGCATGCGCTCGAGGAAGACGGGTGGGACACCTAAGCAGCTCCCTCCATAGGTGACCGAGGGGATCACGCCCTGACGCACCACTCGGGCTAGGCGGGCCCCCTGCTTGCTGTGGGAGCGCAGTTTGGCATTGCGCCTCTTGGCCAGCTTAAGACGTTGAAGCATCTCACTGCGAGCCTGCGCCGGCGCGCCTCCAGCGCTGTGACACCAAGCTGCGCGCTAGCCGTGGTCACGGCGAGCCCCAGACGTCGTGACCATCCCTGGCAACACTTCTGGGCCGCCGCCTGAGCCGAGAGCACAAATCCTTTCCCTTTCTCACCGGGGCGAGCGACGCGCGAAACAGGGATGCGCCAGGCAGATTCCATCTGCGCGACAGAAGTGATAGGCAACAGCACGTGCTAAGAAAGTACAGATTGCTAGGGCCCCACGCACCTGTATGCTGAGGTCGTCCACAAAGAGCTTCATATGCTGCTGGAAGCCCCGAAGGAGGGGGTGAGGGAGGGAGGGAGGGGGGGAGGGACAAGCTAGGTGCGCTCGCGTCGTATCTGACATCCTACCCCTCCCTCCCATCCCTTACCATGGCACAGATCCCCTCTCTACTCACACGGTCGGATGTCGAGCAGTGCAATGATCCCGAAAGGGTACGCGATGCATTGTAGAGCACGGCATGGCATGGCGTAGAAGAGCACCGCGAGGCGTAGTATCAACCGAGCATTGCATTGCATGCCGTGGCATGGCACGGGAAATGACGCCAGCGCTGCAGCGGGAGCACGAGTCGAAACGAGCGGAAGCACGGAAATGAGGCCAGCGCTGCAGCGGGAGCACGATTCGGAACGAGCGGAAGCACGCAGGAATCGGCCCAGGAGGCTTCCCAGGCGCCAGAGGCTGAAATTCAGCATTTTCTCTATATATATATATATATATATATATTTAAAAAAATGGAATGGCCTTTTTTCGGAGCCGCCTCGGAACTCGATTTTCCGGCGCCGGCCGGAACCGGCTCCGGGACCCGGCCCGGGCGCCGGCCCGGGCGCTGGCTCGAGCGTCCGGCCCGGGCGCCGGCTCGGGCGCCAAAGCAGAAATTCAGCATGTTCAAAGGGAAAATGTGTATTAGAATGGCCTTTTTTCGGCGCCGCCTCGGAACTCGATTTTCCGGCGGCGGCCGGAACAGGCTCCGGACCCGGCCCGAGCGCCGGCCCGGGCGCACGGAAATGAGGCCAGCGCTGCAGCGGGAGCACGATTCGGAACGAGCGGGGCCCGAAAATGAGGCCAGCGCCTCAGCGAGAGCAGCATTTTGAAAACAAATGCAGGCGAAAACCCAAGTCCGGGGAAACCTGTGTGTAAAAAACAGCACGCGGGGGGGGGGTCGAATATTCCCAAGCCGTCATCAGGGGAAGAGGGAGAATAGTATTCATATTGAGTAATTGTTGAAGGAAGGGAGGGAAGAGGGAGAAAGGGAGGGAGGGAGGAGCTCACGATGGTACTGAGGAGGAGAAGGAATGGAGGAGGGGGGCATTGGACTGCTGGGCGCGGCAGGGCCCTCCCGCATAGGGGGCGCGCCCGTGAGACGTGGAGACGAGCTGTGAGCCAGGCAGCTCCTGCGGGGAAGCTGGCCAGCAGCGCGGGCTCCCCTCAAGGAGCGCGCGCCCAGAGGAATTCGCCTCCCCAGACAGTGGAAGGGCACTCCTCCTCCTCCTCCTCCTCCTCCTCCTCCTCCACCTCCTCATCTTCCTCCTTCTCCTCCGCCGCCTCCTCCTAGTCCCTCTCATCATCCTCCTCGTCATCACCACCACCACCACCAAGTCATCATCAGCATCATCATCAGCATCATCATCATCATCATCATCATCATCAGCAGCAGCAGCAGCATCATCATAAGAATCGTCGTCATCATCATCGTCAGCATCATCAGCACCATCAGCACCACTATCATCGTCCTCACATCATCATCATGGTCATCATCATCAGCAGCATCAGCAGCAGCATCATCAGCAGCATCATCATCATCAGCATCATCATCAGCAGCACAACCACCACAACCACCCTCCTCCTCCTCCTCATCATCATCATCATCAGCATAATCATCATTGTCATCATTATCAACATCATCGGCATCATCATAGCATCATCTGCATCATCATCACCACAACCACCATCCTCACATCATCAGCATCATCAGCAGCATCAGCAGCATCATCAGCAGCACCACCAGCATCATCATCACCACCACCACAACCAACTTCCTCCTCCTCATCATCATCGTCATCATCATCAGCAGCATCATCATCAGCATCATCATCGTCGTCAACATCATCATCATCATCATCATCATCATCATCATCATCATCATCATCATCATCATCATCATCATCATCATTATCATCATCAGCATCATCAGCAGCAGCAGCATCATCAGCAACATCATCAGCATCATCAGCATCATCATCAGCATCATCAGCATCGTCGTCATCATCATCAGGAAGCAAAAAGGAACAAAAGGAAGGCAACAGCGACGAGGACGACGAGGACAAGCGCCGCTCACCCCTCCTGCGCGGGCAGGCGACACTCTCGCCGGGAGTCGTCAGCTACCCACCTCACCGGTCCTGCCCAGGCCCACCCTGGGCTCAGCGTCCGTGCACACGCCCCCCCTTGCGTGGCCAGAGGGCATATGTGCCCATCCTGAGCCCAGGAGGGGCCCGGCCAGGATCGGCGGGGCGGTCCCCAGAGATCGTGCCATGGTTCTGTGAACGCCCCCAAAGGCCCCAAACCGTCCCTGGCGGCCACCCCACGGCCCGGTGAAGAGCCCCCGGGGGCGGGAGAGCAGCGAAAGTCTGCCCCATCGAGTCGCTCAACACGTTGGAGCGGAGGGAGGGCCAGGAAGAGGGGGGCCCAGGAAGGGGGGGGCGAGGGGGGGGGGGGGCAAGGGGGCGCACTGCAAGAGGAAAAGAGGGGCCATGAAATCTGGGCGATCTCCTGGCCCGCCCCATGATATCAACCCACCCCTTAGTCAGAGGCCGCCCACATGGGGTCGAAGTAGATGGGATTGGAGGATCGCACCGCATCGGCGATGCATCGGCGATGCATCGGCGATGCATCGGCGATGTCGGCGTGGAATGAGAAAGCCAGGCTCCACATCGAGCCGCATCGCCGACGTATCGGCGATGCAGCGCGATCCTCCGACCCCATCTGGATCCTCCGACCCCATCTGGTCGGGCCCCACTTGGGCGTCCAGGATCACCCCCCCCTCGGACGCCCTCGAGGTCTGGGTCGGCCCCAGACCCCGACGTCATGATGATTGTCCCAACCATCCTGTGGTGGTGGGCCCCCGCTTTGAAGAGACAGCGCCCCGCGTCCTCACCTCCCGGTGCCCCTCCTCCACCCGACAATGCTCTCCGCGTCACATTCCTCGCACGAATCGTGGCCACATAGGGAGGTCCAACTAGGGCCCGAACGCCAGTTCGCGTGGCCGCGCCGCCTCATTTTGGCACACCCCTCACACGCTTCGTGGACCCATAGGGAGCTAAAACTAAGGCCCAAATGCCAGAGTTCGCGTGGCGGCGCCGCCTCATTTCGGCACACCCCTCGCGCGCTTCGTGGACCCATAGGGGGCTCCGCGGAAGGCCCCTGTGGCAGGGTCCGCATGGCAGCGCCGCCCCATCTTGGCACACCCCTCGCACGCTTTCCCCCACAGGGACCTCCACCAACGGCGGCAGTCCCGGCGCCCGCATGGCAGCACCTCCCCATCATGGCACACCCCTCACACGCTTTTTCGGGCCCCAGTGGGAGCTCCCTTTCCTTCGTCCACATGCCCTGCGGTACTCGCACGTGCATATGGTTGCGTTCTCCGCCGGGATAATTCACAACGTCAACCCCCAGAAGTCTCGACCCATTCCGCCGAACTGATTCTTTATCCCCAAACGTTTTTCCACAGTCCCAGGGCTGCGCGAGGGCTGCCAGGGGCCGAAAACAGCCCACAAACTCCCGCCGCATCGTCTCCACGCCGCGAAGAAGTGGGGGGGAGACCACAAACGTCCGACGATGTGATTTGTCAATGCGCGGCCCCAAAGATCCCGACCCCTTCCCCAGGGGTGGTTTTTTCGTCCCAGACCAACTTGCTTTGATCCCGGCGCCCAGGATCGCCCCCCCGAGGCCGAAATCGAGGAAAACGCCCGCATCGAAAACATCAAATCGTCGTAGACATGGGCTCGAGGTCTGGGACTGCTGACGCCCCCCAACACTCGCGGGCCACCAGCCAGGGGCACTCGCTGGCCGCCGGCCTCTTCGCCGGCCAGGCGACTCTCGCCGGCCAGGCGACGTGCTGGCGGCACCACGGGCCACTGGCCTCGCGGCGGCTGCCGCCGCCGCCGCGCCTCCGAGGCGGGCGCACTCCTCCCAATCCTTGGCGCCCCCCCCATGACCCACCTCCTCGTCTTGTTCTTCCTCCTGCTCCTCCTCCTCCTCCTCCTCCTCCTCCTGCTCCTCCTCCTCCTCCTCCTTTTCCTCCTTTTCCTCCTCCTCCTCCTCCTTCTCCTCCTCCTCCTCCTCCTGCTCCTCGTGCTCGTCCTCGTCGTCGTCGTCCTCCTCCTCCTATTCCTCCTCTCCTCCTCCTCCTCTTTCCTCCTCTCCTCCTCCTCCTCCTCCTCTTCCTCCTCCTCCTCCTCTCCTCCTCCTCCTCCTCCTCCTCCTCCTTTTCCTTTCTTTTCCTGCTCCTCCTCCTCCTCCTCCTCCTCTTCCTCCTCCCTCCTCCTCGCTCCTCTGCCTCCTCCTCCTCCATCCTCCTCCTCCTCCTCCTCCTCCTCCTTCTCCTCCTCCTCCTCCTCTCCTGCCCTCCTCTCCTCCTTCTCCTCCTCCTCCTCCTCCTCCTCCGCCTCCTCCTCCTCCTCCTCCTCCTCCTCCTCCCTCCTCCTCCTCCCTCCTCCCCTCCTCACTCCTCCTCCTCCTCCTCCTCCTCTTCTTTTCCTTATGAATACCTTACCTTCTCCCTGTCGCATCCCGAGGCCAAAGTTTATGTTCGGCCGGGCGTTTCGCCTGAGACCTCCCCACCATTCATGACCATGAAGCTCAAAAGTTGGCAACAGTTTCACAAATTAAGGGTGGGCCGTTACCAAAATGTGGTTCTCGCCTAAGCGCCGCCCACATTCGTTTGAAAGACTTACGGATTGAAGGCGATTGGTTTTCAAAATGTGGCTCTCGCCAAAGCGGCGCGTACACTCGTTTTCACAATATGCAAGAGCTTCAAGGATTAGGGGGCGGTTTCTTTTCAAAATGTGGTTCTCGCCTTAGCGCCGCGCACATTCGATTGTAAAATGTGCCCGGTTTTCACGGAATCCCATGATCAGCGTACCAGAAATGGCGTTTTGGAAAGATTCCAGATTCTGCGGGCACAGCAGATACGTTGCTTCGCGGTGTTGAAATCACAGGAATGGCCTCCAGGCGCGATTAAGGATCGTCAAGACGCAACAGTCAGAGTGACCCGTGGCGCTGAAGTCCCGGAAACAATGTTTTGGCAGACTTCAGAATTTTCAAACGGTTATCTTCGAACGAAGCAGCTCCCTCAGCAAAAAAGAATCATTGTATGGGGCATACGAAAAGGGAGTTTGGAGGGAGGGTTTATTCCACCATCGTTCATGCCTCCTGGGTTTACAGTGGTCCTCCTGCTCCTCCTCCTCCTCCTCCTCCTCCTCCTCCTCCTCCTCCTCCTCCTCCTCCTCCTCCTCCTCCTCCTCCTCCTCCTCCTGCCCCTCCTCATTTTTTTCTTCTGAATGATTTCTCCTTGTCGCATCTCGAGTCCAATGTTTAAGTTGGGCCGGGCGTTTCGCCTGAGACTTCCCCACCATTCATGACCATGAAGCTCAAAAGTTGGCAACCTTTTCACAAATGAAGGGTGGGTCGTTATCAAAATGTACCTCTCGCATTAGCGCCGCGTACATTCGTTTGAAAGATTTGCAAGGGCTTCACGGCTTGAAGGCGATGGGTTTCAACATGTGACTCTCGCCAAAGCGGCGCGCATATTCGTTTCCAAAGACATGTAAGAGTTTCACGGATTAGGGAGCGGCTCATTTTTCAAAATGTGGTTCTCGCCTTAGCGCCGCGCACATTCGATTGTAAACCTTACCGAATTTCACTGATCCCCATGATCAGCTTACCAGAAAGGGTGTTTTGGAAGGATTCCGGATTCTGAGGGCACAGCAGATACCTTGATTCGCGGTGTTGAAATCGCGAGAATGGCCTTCAGGCACGATTCAGGATCGTCAAGACACAGCAGTCAGGGTGATCCGTGGCGATGAAGTCCCGAAAACAATGTTTTGGCATACCTCAGGGCTTTCAAACGGTTATCTTCCAACGAGGCAGTTCCCTCAGTGGGAATGAACCGTTGTATGGGGCCTATGGAAAAAAGGAGCTTGCAGGGGGGGTTTACTATGGTCCTGGGTTTACTATGGTCCTCCTCCTTCTCCCCGTCCTCCTCCACCTCCTCCTCGTGCTCCTCCTCCTCCTCATCATCCTCCTCCTCTCAAAGGATCTCCATAGGCGATGATTCGTCGGCTTCGTTGGAGCTCCGCGTCCTCCTCCCCATTCTCCTCCTTCTTCTTCCTCCTCCTCCTTCTTCTTCCAATCCTCCTCCTCCTCCGCCTCCTCCTCCTCCTGCTCCTCCTCCTACTAGTACTACTCCTACTACTCATCCGACTACTACTACTACTACTACTACTACTACTACTACTACTACTACTACTACTACTGCTGCTGCTGCTACTACTGCTACTGCTACTGCTACTGCTACTGCTACTGCTACTGCTACTGCTACTGCTACTGCTACTGCTACTGCTACTGCTACTGCTACTGCTTACTGTACTGCTACTGCTTTATGCTACT